GGAAGCCCGGGCCGCCCGGGACCTCGGCGCGCTCCTCCGGACGCGAGAGGCCGCTGCACCGGGTACGGGGGCCGGGAGGGAGGGAGGAGCCTGGCTCCGGGACGGCGCGAGGCCGCGCAGGGCGGGGGAGGGGCGCTGCCGAGTGGGGGTGGGGCGGGCCGGAGGGGAGGCCGAGATGAGATGCCCGCGCGCCTTACAGAAGTGGGGGGCGGGAGGGGTCCCGGGGGTGCAGGAGGGGGTCAGAGGAGCGGCTGGGGGAGGCCGTGCCGGGTACGGCAGGGGGGCGATGGAGAAAGGATGCCGGATGCGCACGGAAAGGAGGGAGAAGGGGGTCCAGGGGCCCTGCTGTGTGTAACCGGGAGTGGAGGAGGCCCTGAGGGGTGCAGAGAGAAAAGTAAAGATGTCAGGGGCTCAAACGCAGGCACCTTGGGGGGAAGGTGGCAGGAGCAACGTGCAGGGGCCGTGGGGTGCGCAGAAGGCGGGCAGCTGAAGCGTCCTGGGGATGCACACGTGAAACCGAGACGATGGGCTAGGTAGCGGGGGAGGATGTCGAAGCCCGGAGGTGCTCAGTGTAGGAGCGGGATAGAGGAGCCCTGAGTGAAAGTGGGGAACTGGGTTAGTGGGACTCTGGGGATGTGCCTAGAGAGGAAATTGAGAGAGGCCGCGGATGTGTCTAGAGATGGGGAGGCCCTCCGGACACCCAGTGGGGCTGGAGATCCAGGAGTGCCTGGAGGCCAGAGGAGGCTGCTGCGGTGGTCCTGGGGGGCGGAGGGGGGGGAGGATGCCACCCGAGGTGGGGCGGGAGATCTAGGAGGGCCTGGAGGCCAGAGGAGGCTGCTGTGGTGGTCCTGGGTAGGGGGGAGGATGCCACCTGAGCTGGGGCTGGGAAGAGGAGGCGACCCAGGGGGCCTGGGTCTGAGATAGAAGAGGCCTTGAAGATGTAAAGAGGGGAAATAAAGTTGGAAATTGATTGGCTGTTGGGGGCTGGGCTGGGGAGTGGCAGGATGATGTCCTCCGGTCTGACCTGGGGGCTGAGAGAGGACCCAGGAGGAAAGGCAGGTTGGGGCTGGGGTAAGCTGAGCTCATTTGGAGGCAGCCCCAAGCATCTTGGTGGAACCACAGCGATCTGGCCTGGATTCAGTTTCTTTTTTGTAGGGGAGGTAAGCCAGTGGCACAGAGGGAGTAACGAGCAGTGAGAACGGGGACACTTTCCCCAGGAAGGGGCGATTTTAACTTGTCTTCCCTCCGCCGCTCCCAGCTGCCGCTCCCGATGCTGCTGCTGCCGCCGCGGCCACCCCACCCTCGGTCCTCCTCCCCGGAGGCCATGGACCCACCGCCCCCCAAGGCTCCGCCTTTCCCCAAGACGGAAGGCCCTGCCTCCACCCCCTCCTCGGCGGCGGGGCCCCGCCCCCCGCGGCTGGGCCGCCACCTGCTCATCGACGCCAACGGGGTCCCCTACACGTACACGGTGCAGCTGGAGGAGGAGCCCCGGGGCCCGCCGCAGCGCGAGGCGCCGCCGGGAGAGCCCAGCCCTCGCAAGGGCTACAGCTGCCCGGAGTGCGCCCGCGTCTTTGCCAGCCCGCTGCGGCTGCAGAGCCACCGCGTGTCGCACTCGGACCTCAAGCCCTTCACATGCGGCGCCTGCGGCAAGGCCTTCAAGCGCTCCAGCCACCTGTCGCGGCACCGCGCCACGCACCGCGCCCGTGCCGGCCCGCCGCACACCTGCCCGCTCTGCCCGCGCCGCTTCCAGGACGCCGCGGAGCTGGCACAGCACGTGCGCCTCCACTGAGCCCCTCGGGGCCTCGCGCACACGCTCCCGGCTCTGCTGAGGTTGCTGCCTCACCCTGGGCCTCAGTTTCCCCACGTCTCCAAGGGGAGAAGCATCATTCCTTCCTTCCCTCCCTCCCTCTCTAGCTGTGTGATGTAGACCAAGCCGTTGCCCCTCCCTGGGCCTGGGAGCCAGTCGGAACGGGGTTCCCGGCCCAGCTGTGCTGTGTGAGCCTTTGCAAGTGACAAAACCTCTCTGAGCCTTGGTTTTCTGCTCGAAGGTGGTGAACGGTTGTCGTCTGCATGGTAGATGTGACAAAAGAGCACGGGCACGGTCTGGTTCATGTCTGTATCCCCCCCCTTCCACCCACTACCGTCAACCTTGACTCAATAAACATTCCACACTACACTTTAGGGCTCTTGTTTGCGTATGGGGCTTAGGGGAGCAGCGGGGTTGGGGGTGGAAATCGGACCGTAAGCGCCTGGGAACCTTCCTCTCGATGTGTGTTTCTGGCCGGAGCCGTTTCCCGAAGGCCCAGGCGCCCCGCCCCCACTTCCCTCGCCTAGACCCTCTTCTCTGTCCCCCGGTCCTCTCTCCACTCACCGGCGCCGCCAGTTCCCGGGGAACACCCGGAGGCCCCCGTCCCGCCGCCACCTGCCACCTCGGGGGTAGCCCGGGGCCGCTCCGGAGTCGCCCGGACCCGAGAGGCTGCTGCACCGGGTACGGGGGCCGGGAGGCGGGCGCGGGGCGCGGGCCGCGGAGAGGGGCGGGGCGGGAGAGAGGGTACCTGTGAGCGCGGGGAGGCCGCTCCGGGGCCGCCGAGAACTCGCTAGAAAGGCGCCAGGGCCGGGGCCGCGGGCTGGGGGGGACCCCTCGGGAGCGCGGGGCCCTAGAGAGAGCTGGGGGTGGGGGGCGTGGGCTGGAGAACTGAAGGTGGCCGGGCGGGGGGCCCAGAGGAGTTCAGGGAGGAGGCCAGGGGGCAGGTGGGGACTTGGGGGTCCCGACGTGGCAGCCCGTTGGAGAAGCTGGGGCGTAGGTAGGGGGGTGGAAAATGCTTCTGGGTGGAGTATGGAGGACGGGCCCACACCCACACCGGGGGCAGGGGCGTAGAGGAGGGTGCAGGGATCCGGAGGGCTACTGGGTGGGGCAGAGACGCCCTGCGGGGTAGCCGGAGTAGAGGGGCACCCCGTGACCCGAGGAGGGCACAGAGGGGGCCGAGGGAGCGAGTTCCGGGTTGTGCCTCGAGTGGCGAAGAGGGCCTGCGCCTACAGTGGGCTGTGATCAGAGGACAGGAGGGGTTCCCCAGGAGGGAGACCCTAGGTGCCTTACACAGGGTCACGGAGCCCAGGGTGGAAGGAGTGGAGAAGAGACGGAGACCGGGGGATGCAGAAGTTCTGGGCAGGCTGCATAGAGGGGGCAAGCATGGAGCCGTGGGGCTGCTCCTCCTCTCCGTAACCTTCTCATCCTCTCTCCCACCCGCCAGGCCTCAGCCACCCCTCCGGATGCTGGTGCTGCCGGCCCCCTGCCCCCACCCCCTGGCGCTTCCCTCTGCTGAGGCCATGGAGGCCCCTCCCCCTCGGATGCGCCGGTCCCCAGAACCCGGACCCTCCTCCTCCACAGGATCTCCCCAAACGTCGTCCCCTGCGAGGCCCAGCCACTACTTGCTGATTGACACCCAGGGCGTTCCCTACACCGTGCTGGTGGACCAACACGGGGAGCCTCAGCGGGAGCCCGGGGCCGACGGGGCTTCGGCTCAGAAAAAGTGCTACAGCTGCCCCGTGTGCTCCCGGGCCTTTGAGTACATGTCGTACCTTCAGCGCCACAGTGTCACCCACTCGGAGGTGAAGCCCTTCGAGTGTGACACCTGCGGGAAGGCATTCAAGCGGGCCAGCCACCTGGCGCGACACCACTCCATCCACCGGGCCGCCGGCGCGCGGCCCCACGGCTGCCCACTCTGCCCTCGCCGCTTCCGCGAGGCGGGCGAGCTGGCCGAGCACAGCCGCGTCCACTCCGGGGAGCGCCCGTTTCAGTGCCCGCACTGCCCGAGCCGGTTTATGGAGCAGAACACGCTGCAGAAGCACACTCGGTGGAAGCATCCGTGAGCCAGGCTGCGGGGTACCCCAGGCACCATGGGGTTCTGGGGGGAGCCTGGACTCCTGTCTCTCTCAGACACCCGCCAGCGCTGGAGGCTGGGATGCGGCCTCTGGACACAAACAAAGGCCCACCTCGTGTGCAGGCCGAGCCTCCTGAAGGAGGAGCCCCCCGAGTAATCTTCGGGTCCTCAGTGTTTGGAGATAAGACGGGAACAAGACCGCACGTTCACAGAGTGGAGTTCTCCGGCCTCGAGACATCAGCTGTTCCACGGCTGAGCCCTGCCGGCAGGGGCAGGAGGTTATTCTCTCGCCTGAAAATCGTGGTGGGGGTCTTCAGGAATCCGCACCATCTTCCTGAGGCCTCCAGGTTGATGTTGGGGGAAGGGACCCCCCTCACCCCCCAGCCAGGGCTGGAGACTGAATACCGAATAAACACGTTTTCTACTTTGAGCACTGGAGGTTTGTTTTTGGGGACAGCGGCTTGGACCGGCCCTGCGTAGCCGGGGCTGGGTGGGGGTGGGGGGGTGCTCAGGAAGTGCCTGGCCCCCTCAGGCCCAGCTCGCCTGGCTGGGGAATGGGAAGGTTGGGTTTTTGCACTGGGGTGAGTCCTAGCTTGGCTCCTCAGGACCTGTGTCATCTAAGCGGTGTTCTTCAACTTTCTTAAACCACAATCCATTGTAAGAAACATTTTATGTGGCAACCCAGTAGACAGATACACAAAATATATGTGAAACAAAAGTTTAACGATAGTTTCCTCTGCCATGTGCAGGTCACTGATACTTTTTTCACCTATAATTTTTTTTTTAAACTGCCGATTCCATCTTCCTACTGTATTGAATTCTCTGTCCATGAACTTGTAAGTTTGAGAAACACCCATCTAGGGCAGGGGCCTCCCCCTGGGCGTTTTGACCCAGGCGGCAATGTGTTTGTAATGTGAAGTGGGTAGGAGAGGAGTGTGGCCACAGCTACGTGGGGCAGGCGTTTCGCTCCCCCTCTGCAGGGTTAAAGCCGCGCTCTCAAAGGGCGGGGGAAAACTCCAGCGCACGGATGCTACTGGGGAGCCGGAGGCGGCGAGGCAGGAAAGCTGCGCCGGGAGCTGAATCAACGTCTGCCTTCTCAATGAGGTTTCCTTGCGCGTCGGTTCTGTGCCAGGCACTGTGCTGGGCCTCATTTCTTCTTCCGACCTCTGTTTGGGAGGAAGAACAAACCAGCCGTCTCCACTCCCCAGAGAGGGACAGCCTCCCACTGTCCGACCTCAAATAACACCACCGGCGCCCAGATCTTGAGCCCTGACTACGGCCGGGCGCTGGGCTGAGCGTTTTGCGTGTCGTGTCATTGCATCCTCACAGCGAACATAAAAGCGGTTATAATCTGCCCACTTTACAGGTAAGTCAGCTGAGGTTGGGGAGGAGGAGCGGCCAGGACTGGGGTGTAGGTCTGACTGTCCCAAAGCCAGCTCTTATTCGCTTACACGGGGGTGATGGTGGCGGGTCTAGGCCCCTGTTTTCAGGAGAGGGACTCGCAGTGCCCGTTATCCTGGGAATCCTGCGGTCTGGTCTGATGCCGCGTGGGGGATGAAGGAGCGGGATGCGGGGTCCACACCGGCCAGTTCCCAGGGTATCCCAGTTTAAGGGGATTCTTCCCCCCCCCGTGCTCCAACTTTCCTGGCTGTCTCCTGCACTCCCCCGCCTCTCCGCGTCGCCACCAGCCGGGGGACCCCCGATCCGCCGCTCTCCAGGAATTGGGAATTTCGTGACGTTCCCTGCCCGCGCTTCGCGGCGGGCGGGGGAGTGCTGCAAGGGGCCATGGCGCAAGTGCGGCCCTGGCCTCCGCCGCAAACGGCGGGCCTCACCTGCGGCCGGGGACTCCCGAAGAGGCGCGCCGACTGACGGACCCGGCGAGCGCTGGGGTCCCGGCCCGCCCCGCCGCCCGGCTCGGAGACTCGCCGCCCCGCCCGCCAGCGGGTGGGTGGGCGCTTCCCTCCGCTCCCCGCGACACTTTGCAGACGCTCCCCGGCGCCGGGAATGGGCGCCGCCGCCGCCGTCGGTCCCCGGGCCGGATTCCGCGCGCGGGTGGGTGAGCGTGGGGCCCCGGCCCCTCGGACCCCAGGCACCTGCGGGCGGGAGTGGGGTGGGCCGCGTCTGCGCCTGCGGCCTGGCGCATCCCCGCTGGGAACCCTTGCCACCATCGCTCCCCCTCCCACCCGTGGGACAAAGGGCGGGGGCGGGGGGGGGCACCCCCACGCGTGACCGCCCCCCGCACTGCGCACGCGCCCAGACCCCCCACCACGGGGGAGAGGTCCTGCTCGCCCACGCAAATGCGAGGGAGGGGCACGGGGGGGGTCTGTGGGGGGGAAGGAGCCGCGCGTGGGCTGGACCCCCACCCTCTGCCTGGAAGTTGGGGCACAGTTTCCCCATCCCCTGCACCTCTCGCTTCTTTTGGCCCCGAGGTGACCCGTGATGAGGGCCCGTCCCATTCAGGCCAGGATGTCCCCGCTGTGTCGACTCCATGGGGAACCCAGCTCTTTTTTCCGTCAGTACCTAGGTATCTGAGCCCCCAGCCCCCTCATTCCCTACGAGTCTCGGAGTTCGGAACCCCAGGTGTGCCTGGGGGTCTGGGTTCCCGCCTCCATCAGACCCAGGAGTCCCGGCACTCAGCACCTCTCCCCTAATCCTGAGTCGGGCCCCGCCTCCCCCGGGATGTCCCCGAGGAGTCCATCTGTGTTCCTCCATCTATGGCTGCTGTTTCTGTCCAGTGCCCCTGAGGCGCTCAGCTGCCCGGGTCCGCTGGAGGCCGCGCCATGAATGACCGAAACAGCCGGAAGAGGACACGTGAGGAAGCTGGGGCCCTGCCCCACCCTTGGTCCCACAGCCGCTCTGCCCATCCCTGCCCTTTCCTCTCCAGGGCGGGGGTTGGGGGCTGGTCCCAGGGGCCCGGTGACTTCCCTGCGGTGACCCTCGGCCTCTCGTCTCCAGTGAAGAAGGACAATGAGGCCTTCGAGATCTCCATCCCCTTCGACGAGACGCCCCACCTAGAGCCACAGCTCTTTTACAGTCTGAGTCCTTCTCGGGGAAACTTCGAGGGTGAGCTGTGGAGGCGGGCGCAGAGGGATTTGAGTCAGTTGGGATGCAGAGCCCTCGAGGCTCAGGTGTGACTGGGGTCCCCGGCTCTCCCTAGAGCCTCCGGAGGCCGCATCGCCGCCAGTGGCCCTGATGAACGGGGTCAGGGCCCAGCTGCACATGGCCCTGGAGAGGAACTCGTGGCTGCAGAAGCGCATTGAGGACCTGGAGGAGGAGAGGGACTTCTTGCGGTGTCAGCTGGACAAGTTCATCTCCTCTGCCCGTATGGATGCAGGTGAGGGCGCAGCATGAGCCAGTCCCCTCCTGTCTCACTCCTGGGCCCTGGAACCCAGCTCCCACCCTTCTCAGGGACATGGGATCTTTCTCACCCACACAGTCATCCTTCAGTGGCTCAGTGGGGACCTGGCATCTTTACCCTGTGGCCGTCTGCAGGACTTCAAGCCCAGCTTCCTTCCTGCTCTATTACTGCTTCTGGCGAGGACCCTGTGCCCCGTGTGTTATGGACTTTGAACACTAGGCATCCCCTTCTGCGGATAGTCGGCGCTTTTCTTTGCCAAATCTTTCGCCTTGTTTTGGGCAATGCAACCTCTACTCTCCCCCTCCTGGTGTTCAGCCCCTGCCCGGCTCCCTCAAAATCCCGCATCCCTCTCTGTGAATTCAACCCAAAACCTGGGCAAGGGGGCCTGTGTTTTTTTAACTGCTCCATTATTGGGGACCCTCTGCTCCGGAACCACTTCGAGCCCAGGTTGCTGGGATGTACTGCTGTCTCCCCACATTGATGGGAACCTACCCAGGATGATTGGGCCCAGGGGACTTTCTCAGTGGGAACCCCGACACCAGACCTCCCCCCAACCCACCTTCTGGAGGGCCGTGGCCAGAGCCACAGCCGCTCCCTCTGTCTGGGAGAAGGCAAGTGCCTGCCCTTCCCAGCCCACTGGACCCAGAGCCTGAGACTTCTCTTAGGATCTGAACCCCCACCCCAATCTCTGCCTGCCTCCCAGGTTTATAGAGTCTACTCTTCTGGAGGTCCCACTGGCTCCCCAGAAAACCCCTCCTCCACTGTGGGAACCCCATAGCGTCCCAGGCTCTCCTGAGGTCCCCGGTCCTGTCTTGGTCCACTCCACCCCTCCCCCAGACTTCTTGCCACCGAGTTTAGGAGTTAGCTGAGCATCCTCAACCGTCTGCAGCTCGACCTCCCCTGTCCCGCCCCCCAATCCCAGCCGTCTCGGTAGGGACCTCAGCATCTATACTGTACTTCCTGCTCATCTGTCTCCTTCGGGGCCTCAGCCCTGGTTGGGGGCCCCCCTGCCTGGGGACCTGTGTGACATGACCTCCACCTCCTCCTTGCAGACAGACCTCTTGCTCCTCCTCCCTCCCGTTCCCTCAGTTCACATGTGTGCGTGTCTCTCCCTACCTCCCTCCAGAGGACCACTGCCGAGTGAAGCCTGGGCCCCGGCGGGTTGAGGGTGACGGCCGAGGTGGGGCCGGGGGTGAGGCCTCGGACCCTGAGTCTGCCGCCTCCTCGCTCAGTGGAGCATCTGAAGAAGGCAGTAACGTGGAGAGGAAGAGGCAGAAGCAGAAGGGAGGTGCTGGCCGGAGGCGCTTCGGGAGGCCTAAGGCCCGGGAGAGGCAGCGGGGTAAGCGAGGCAAAGGAGGTGGGGGCTCCAGGGGACTGGGCCGGGGACTTGCTGTGTGACCTCCACAGAGGGCCTCCCTTCTCCTCCCCAAGCCTCAGTCTCTCCGTCTGTAAACAGACCAGACCCTGTCCAGTCTCCATGTGTGGTCCTCTCTTAGTCTTTACATGCTGGTCCCCCCTCACCATGGTCCCCAGAGGCCTCCTTGACTTTCCTGACCCTCAGGTTCCTGTCACTAAGGAGGTAAGGCGTGATGGCTCAGGTGGGCTGAGAGCTCACCGTTTAGCCCACCCTCTCCTTCATGTTCCCTCCTCCTCTCTGGGCCCTGCCTCCTCCGATTTTCCTTCTGTCTCCATTTCTCTCACCTTCTTGGACAATTTCACCTGCTTTCCTCCTGTTTTCCATTTTGCTCTCCTGGCTCTTCCTGTATTGGGCTCCTCGTCACTCTTCACCTGTCTGTTCTGCTTGCGCTTATCTTCCCTGTCCCCATCCCTGTCCTGTGTCCCCTCACCCCATCTCTGTCTTGTCCTCTGCATCTGCCTTCCCGTTTGTGTCCGGCTTCCTCCACATCTCCCCCGGTGTCTATCTCTCTCTACCCTCACGTGTCTCTCCGTTCCCTCATGTCTCTCTCTCTATGCACCCCCTTGGTCCTGCAGTGAAGGACGCGGATGGAGTCCTCTGCCGTTATAAGAAGATCCTGGGCACCTTCCAGAAGCTGAAGAGCATGTCTCGGGCCTTTGAGCACCACCGCGTGGACCGCAACACGGTGGCGCTGACCACGCCCATCGCCGAGCTGCTCATCGTGGCCCCCGAGAAGCTGGCGGAGGTGGGAGAGTTCGACCCCTCCAAGGAGCGTCTGCTCGAGTACTCGCGCCGCTGCTTCCTGGCCCTGGACGACGAGACCCTCAAGAAGGTGCAGGCCCTCAAGAAGAGCAAGCTGCTGCTTCCCATCACCTACCGCTTCAAGCGGTGATCCTGCCCCACCTGGCCGGGACACCCCCGCCGGCCCCCACTCCGCCCCTCCGGTACCCGGGCGAGCGTGTGCATGAGTGCTGTGCCCCTCTCGAGGGCCTCGCGGGTGGGCGGCGTGTGCCTCTCCTCCTGCAGACCCCCACTCCCGCCCCAGGTCCCTTGTATATAGATCCGCCCCCCTTGCCTCCCACATTCCCAGCATCCTCCCCTTCCTCCGCATTCCCTGTGGTGGGGGGGATCTCACTTAGCCAGGCTCCCACGAACTACTGCCCAGGGGCTGGTTTCTGTCCCTTCTTGAACACTGGCACCCCTTCCACTTGAGCTGCACCGTCCTGCTCTCACTGGGTCCTTCCTCCTGGGAAAACTGCGGGACTCCGCCGGGCCGGGGCTCTCTCCACACCCCGTCTCCGCCCCAGCCCCGAGGAGAGGCCGGCCCGCCCAGCCTGCCGTGCCCGGAGCTCCCCACCCGCATTCCAGGACCAACCCCGACTCCACGTGAAACAGAATTATTCAGAGAATTTAAATTAAAAAGAAACGATAAAATTTGGAATAAACTAGGCCCCCGCCTCTTAGCGGGAGGGGGTGGCCGTTGCCACGGAGATGGGGGCTCTAAGGGGTTCCAGGGAGCGGGCGGTCAGGCGAGAAACGGGGAGGCTGGGGAGACAGGGTGTAATTAGCCCCCCGGAGGCGGGGTGGGAGGGGGAGAAGCAGCTGTGCCCCGGGGAACTCGGAGGGGCAGAGCTCCGGAAAAGAGGCCTGAACTCTACCGGGTGGGCTATTTGGACTCGGGGCGCGGCAGCAGGAGGCGGGACTCAATGTCCTCTAGCGGAGGCGGCCACCTGAGAGAACAGAGCATCTCTGAGCGGAGGTTTTCACTCGCCCGCCAGGAGGCGATAATGCGACATATCTGTCTCCCGGAAGTGCCCCCTATGTCGCCTGCTGCGCCTGCGCGTCCGGAGAGGAGCGGGCACGCTTACGCGGTTGCTACGGCAACCAGGAGGTCAGCCTTGCTTAACGGTCTGGAACTCAGTACCTTCCCTGGAGGGAGGGAGCGTCTCGCGCACGCGCGCTGGGGGCTCTGAAACCCGCCCCCTTCCGGAGCAGTCAAACCGCGCCTCAGACTGGCCTTTACGCAGGCGCAAAAGCCCATCTCGCGCCCCTCCTCTACCACTCTGCGCAAGCGCACAAAGCCGCGCTACCAACCTCCGCAGCGGCCGCGCGCACTCGTCACCCTACGGGCTACTTTTGTCTCGCGCAACCTTCTTAGGCCTTCTGCGAGATCGGCCGTTCTTTTCCTCCACACTCCCCACCCGGAGAGCCAGGTGCCGAGAGCCGGGACCCCGCCCCTTCTCCGTATACCTTCCCCTGACCCACTTCGCCTCCGTCCTCCCTCCCTTTTCGGTACCCAAAGCCGGAAGGGGCCGAAGTGCTGACGGAAAAAGCCGAAGCTGTCTCCCCTGACTGAGGCCGTCCCGAAGCGGTGGCGGAAGAAGCCGAAGTTCTCCGTCGAGGGAGGAGAGAGCGAGTGGAATCTCCGGAAAGAGCCGAAGCTTGGAATCGAGTTTAATCTCTGGCAGAGCCCGAGGGCGGGCGCTGGAAACCTTCGCAAAGTGCCAAGGCCTGGGACGGTTAGGATTGTCGGAAGTAGACGATTGTTTGGACAGGGCCAGCGGAGAAGAGCAGGAAAAATCTGTGGACGCTGCCAAAGACTGGGACGGTTTGAGTTGCCGGAAGAAGCCGAACTCTTGAGGGGGAGGGCTGGGCGCAGAGGAACGCGAGGACCTACG